TTCTGGTAAGATTAGAGGCTCACAGGGCCACACAAGGCCTTACCTGAGCGGTGCCAGCCAAAGGTCATGGTGCGGGTGGCTGGACGGGTAGAGAGCCAAAGAGAGAAGAGGCTGCCTATCATGCTGCCCACATCCGCCAGCAGGTGGGCTGCATCGGTCATAATGGCCAGGCTGTGCGCCAAATAGCCCCCTGCAAGCATAAAGCAGTGAGCAGTCTGGGTCCAGTTGGGAAGTAGCGAGCACCGCGGCGTGTGTAGAAGCCGGGAAGGAGGCTGGGGGGACCTGCACCCAAATGTGAACTGCGTTCTTCCCTGGTGATGGGACTATAGGGGGGGTTTATCGGCTTCTTTTCACTCATCCACATTTTCTAGATTTTCTATAATGACACATTTTAATGTCAAGAAATATAGGACTTGTAAAAGTCTAGCTAATGCTGAGAAGCCAGCCCCGGCCCTCAGCCCCAGACGTGGCCCTGAATTCCCCCTGCTTCTATCCCCCACCCTCTCCCACTTCCTGAGTCCTAGGCACCCACGTCCCCACTGCAGGCATCCCCTTCTCAGCATCTCTGCCCCCGCCCCCCTCCGGGAACACTGCTGGGACTCTGGGTGGAGAGTGGCTTAGGCAGGGGTCGAGAGGATGGGGTTGGCGGAGCCGCTCTCTGACTTACCGACCACCTCCCCAGCCATGAAAACACAGCACACGGCACAAGCAGCACAGAGCTGTCTCTGCGCCTGCAGCCTCTCAGGGGTGAGGCCCGGCTGTGGCAGGGGGTCCCTGTGGCAATGGTGGAAGGGCATCTCCACAGGTTTGGGTTCCTCGGGGAGGGGCTCCGAGGGCTCTGTGAAGAGACTGGGGCAGGCAGCGCCATTCAACCTGGGGCTGGGCCACGGGCTGACCTGTTCCTCGCTCCCAGGTCCTCCGTTCCGCTAGACGGGCTTTGTCCGCCGTGGCCCAACACTCGCTCTGCCCGTCCCAAGGCCCGGTCAAACCTGGGAGCCTCGGGAACAGAGGGCCACGTGAGAGATGGGGGCTAAACAGACAGCTCAGACCCCAGCCTCCCTTTCCTTTCATACACAGAGCCATAGCATTTCGCAGCTGGAAAGCACCGTAGAGATGGTCTAGTCTAATGCTTTTTACAGAAATTACAAGTATGAGGCTCAGAGAGGGAGAGGACATAGGGGGGCCACATAGCTAGTTCATGGTAGAGAGTAGGTTCCACCATAATGCACGGATAGGCACCATAAGGAGCACAAAATGAGCAGGATCTTGCTGACCTCTGGGAGCTTTCGGTGGACAAGACAAAGGTGTACCTAGGTGCTATGCTCTGTAGCAAGAAAGTAGCTATTGCCATAAAACAAAGTGCTTTCGGGGCTTGGAGAAGATGAACTGGAGTGAAGTCAGGGAAACTGAAGGGGGCGTCATGAGAAGGGCCTTGAAGGATGGGGAGGGTTTGGGTAAAGACAGGGTGAACATGCCAGGCAGAGGCAATATGAAGGCAAGGTGGTGTCAAAGGATGAGCACATGATCCTGGCCTTAGGGCCTCCCTCCGAGATCCATCTCCCAGTGCCTCCACTCCAGATCCTTCCCCTTCCCTATCTAGACATGCAGCTGAAACGTGGCCATTTAAGAGAGGAGTGGAACGGTGGGACCCAAAAAGTCTGAGGTCCCAGATCCCAGAGCTGGGGTTGTCATGGGGAGGATGAAGTGCAGACTGCTGTGGCTGGGGAGGCAGTGGTAGGAGCACTGGGTTTGAAGGTTGCCACATGTTAGCTGGACTCCGGCCCGATCAGAAGCACCCAGCGGAGACCACCTTAACTGTGCGGTGCCATAAGCCTCCTTTGATAAATGAACGGGGCTGGAGCCTCACCTGGGATGCCAGAGATGGAACTCAGGCTAAGTTTTAGGTTCATGCTGGCCCAATTCTCACCCCCACAACTACCCAACCTGAACCCCAGCAAGGCCAGAACCTTCCATAGAACAAAAGACCTAAATAGAAAATACAGTCGTAGAAATACTCATGGAGGTGTGACAAGAATACCCATGAGTGAATCAGAGGCTCCAGATAGAAACATGGTCACAGCAGTAAAGTGAGGAGGGAGGCCTGGGGCCTTCTGGCTGAGAAAAGCTCTGCCAAGTGGGTGAATTGAGGTGTGAGGGAGGTGGGGACAAATTTGGTGCTTGTAGGGAAGATCCGAGTGCTGGCAGGTAGATTAATTTCTTGGAATTTTCTTCCAAGACTTAGAATCTCAATGTGTATGATGAGATGCTGGGTGTGTTTGCAGAGGAGACAGAGAGATGAGGGTGGCTTTGAAACCCATCCTCATTCTTCAGTTAGATACACACATAGTCGGGTGCCCGGGACTCAGGTGGCAGGCATGGAAACCCAGTCTAGTGGGAGAGACAGATGTGTCACAAATGACTTACTAGGCAAGGAGAGGCTGGGGCCAGGAGGATTATGAATGAAGGACTTTGGAGCACCAGGGAGGGAGTGACCACCTGGGATGAGGGTGAGGACAACTTCACAGAGGAAGAGATGTTTAACATGAGACCTAGGTGAAGAAGGGGGCTCCAGACACATGGGATGTCAATGACAAGATAAGTGGCTAGGAGTTTTAAGTGTCAGGAGCCAGGGCAAGGGCTGAGGAGGAAAACGAGGGCTCAAAGGAACATCAAGGGAGATACACTGATTGATTTCACATATCTTTCCCCAGCCCTGAGATGACCTTGCTGATGTATATTAGTCTGGGAGAGGGAGAGGAGAGGAGATGGAAGGGTCCAGAATAGAGCAGGCCACAGATTCCCTGCACCGAATTTTAAAGGAGGGGCAGGTAGGTTAGGGAAGAGCCTCTTTCAGAAAATACTGCAGGATTTGGTGACTAATGGTCATATGAGAATGAAAATGAGCTGGGAGTCAGAGATGCGGGTCTGGATAGCAAGCAGAGGCTGCGTGGCTTTGGGGCAATGGGCAAGATGCCTTTTTTGTAAGGCATAGAGTACCCAGTCATCAAGGTAGCCACCCATCAACAGTCTGCTCCCTTTTGTTCTGCATGAATTGGGCACTAAAGAAGCCTCATTGTTGGGGTGCCTGGCTGGCTCAGTTGGTAGAGCATGCGACTCTTAATCTTAGGGTCATGAGTTCAAGCTCCACGTTGGGCGTGGAGCCTACTTCTTAAAAAATACATTAAAAAAAAAAAAGAAGGCTCATTGTTGGTGTGGGTGGGTGTATATGTGGGTGGGGGGCTACATGCTGTTTAGAGAGAAGGAGAAGCAGTTTTCTCTCCCTGGCCCTCTGAAACCCCCAACAAACAACAAGTAATATTGAGTGGGGTAGAGGGGAACTGTGCGGAGGAGACCGCGGCCTGAAGCAGAGTCAAACGGATCTGTGAAGAGATGCCCCTGCCTCGGCTGGAGCCTCCACAGCTGCCCACGTCTGCAGTCCCCTGCAGGAAGGAGTCAGACGGGAAGTCTGTCCTCCCTTCTGTTCCACTTCCCCACCCACCCAGGTTTACGGCCCCCACCCAGAGAAAGAGCGAGAAACACACAGAGGCACCACATCAGAGACAAAGGGAAAGGTGCTCGGAGGGAAACAAAACGATTGGGATAAATGAAGAAAGAGAAAAAGCCGAAGAGAAAAAGCCAGAGAGCCTGTCAAATTTCCGAGACAAACGGACGGTCAGCCAGCAGACAAAATGGCCAGCGGAGGTGGCCAGGATGGGCCTGGCACGGCCGCTCCGAGGGACAAGGCGGACAGAGCTGGCGGGCGCCGGGCGCGGGAGGCCGGCGGGACGCGGAGGAGGTTCTCCGGCCGCCCCCGGCCCGCTGTCCCGGCGGCTCCGCGCGCCTCATTTCACACCTCGCCGCCCCCGGCCCCGTCTGTGCGGAGCCGGGAATACCCCCTGCCGCCCAGACCGCACCTGCTCCTTCCCTGCCACCCCCTCGCTTCCCAGCGGCCGCCGTCCCCCAGGGCCCCGGAAGAACCGCCGTGGAGCCCGGGCCCATCTTCGGCCTGGGTGCGCACAGCTGGCTGTGGCTGGAGGGGGCGCCCCGAGCCCGCGCGCACAGAGGGAAGGGCCAGGGGCCTGCAGCGGGGGCTCCGAAGCCTGGGCGGCGAGATGCTCCCAACGCCAGGGCGCTGGAGCAATGCAGACTTCGGGGCACCTGGCGTGGACTCCGGTCCGACGGAGGGGCAGTTGCTCACGGGGAAGTCGGGTGCGGCGAGGGCGGCAGAGGGGTCCGGAGGCTTGGGGGACCGGCCGGGGAGCCGTTTTGCGGGACCGAGAAAAAGAGCGTGGCCGGGAGGAGGCATAGCGGACTGCTGGGAGGGTCGGGGGTGGGGGTGGTTCTGGCGGGGTGGCCGGAGAGGACAGAGCCGGGCGCCGCGAAGCCGAGGGAGTTGCGGTGCGCTGGGGCGGCCAGCCGGGGCCACGCCGGGGGAGACAACGAAATGGACGGATGGCAGGAGGGTGGCGCCCCCGGGCTGAGGGCCGGCCCAGGTCTGTCCTACCTCTTCAAGCGCAGGCCGCCACCGGCGCCGCCGCGGTCTCGGGGGCTCACCAGGCGAGTGGTCTCCGATCCCCCCGTGGCAGGAGAGGGCTCCATGTCACCGCGGCCCCGACCGTCTAGGCCCCACCGAGGAAGGGAGAGGCGGGGCCGGCCCTGCACCAAGTCCGAGCGGCCAGCCGACCCCCGGACTCCCCGCAGGGCCGCGGGGCCACCAGAGTCGAGCGAACTGCAGCGACTGTGGCGCGGGGAGTCCGAACTGCAGATCCCGCGGCCTTTGGAGCCCCGCCCCGTGTGGGGCGAGCTCCCCAAGCCCCGCCTCCAGGTCCCCGGGCCTCTCCCCCACGCCTAAGCCCCGCCCCGGAGCCCCGCCCCCATAACCAAAGCCCCATTTCCCAGTGCCAGAGCCAGGTGGGGGCGACCGGAGCCCTCTGCGCCGCCGCAGGGTTCTAGAGAACGCCTAATCTCCACAGCCCCGCCCCCACCCAAGTCCCGCCCGCGGGTTCCAAGCCAAGCTCCTCAAGCCTCGGCACCTCCCGACCAACCTTCCCCCAAGGAACACCTCCCTTTGCAAGTCTGCACGGCGTGGGGGGTGTCGTCCAGCCCCCCACACGGAGGCAGAAACAGGTGTGGGTCCATTACCTAGCTCGAGAGAACCAGAAAGAGTGTGGGGTGAGCAGTGACACATCCGGGAGAACTCCAGGGACCCCGGCCAGAAACCCCTCTGTGGAGGATGTGGGGTCGGAATTTGCATGCAAAATCTGCTGCCAAGCACTGTACCGCTCATTATCATTTATTTTTATAGAGAGTTTGGGTGACAAAAGCTTCCTGTTCTCCTCCAATCCATTACTATCCCTATTTTTCGGATGAGTAAACTGAGTTCCAGAGGAAGAAGCGTCTAGGGTCAGGCAGCCGGTGAATAAAACGCTGGGACTGGAACATCATCTTCTTTCCCTCTCCAGTTCAGGGCACCGCACTGGCGACTGAAGACAGCGCGCGCCACAGGCTGGGGCAACGAGAGGAGGAAGGAGTGATGCCACATCTCTGGTCACAAGCCCACTGTTCTTGGAGGGAGGCTGCAGCTTGTCAGCAGGTGATTCTTTACCTCCGAACCTCTAGCACCTGGCTGGGCATTACCTTATTTTGCCTCATTTTAATTAAAACCCAGGGGAAGGAGTGACTTACAGCAAAGTGGGTGGCTGAGCCCGGAGTCAAACCTTCAAATGCTCGAAGCTCTCTGGCCCTCACACCTGCCGTCACTGTAGAAGGAAATGGGGGTGGGGATTGCATTGTGCCCTCCAAGCTGTGACACTCTGTGAGGAGGAGGGTCTGGAGGAGGAGGGAGAAAAGTGAGCTTGGATGGGGAAGCGTGGAGGGTGGGAGCGGTTGGTGAGTCCAGGAGAGAAACCCATCCACGGGCACCCTTCCTGAGGAACACACTGGGGGTGCTTCATTTGGGGTTCCGGGGACAGACACTTCGCCCCAACGTTATTATCCCAAACATTGCGACTGCGTGTACACTTCCCCCCCCAAAAACCCGGAACAAACAAACACTAGGAGCACGTGCCAGACAGAGTGGTTGGAAGAGATGGGGTTAACCCGGGAGAGCTTCGCGGAGGAGGTGAGGCTTGAACGGATTAGGCAAGCTGGGCGGCGGGCTGGCTGCTCAGGCGGGGGAGAGTGAGGCCCTTGCCAAGGTTTGCGGGCGGCTTGCACGAAGGGAGCGTACTGCGCTGGGGAACGGTGCGGAACGGAAGAACCAAAGGGTCTGCGCGAGCCCCCGGCGCCGCGTCTCCACCCACGCCGCGCCCGGGGCCAGCGCCAGCCTTTATTCGGCACTCTCCGCAGAAGCCTCAGCCCAAAGCCCACGCAAGGCGAGGGGCGAGGGAGTGAGGGTGGGGGTCCTCTCTCCCTCCAACCTCCCCTAGAGGAGTGGAGCCTCAGCTCCTTCCTCGGGTCGCGGGGGTGCAAACTGAGGTAGCGAGAGGGGAAGCCACCGGCCAAGGTCACCTTGTAGGTCCTTGGTAGAGCGGGGTGGAACTCGTGCCCCGTCCGCCTAGGTCAGGGCCCCGGCAAGTCCCGCTAGGCGCCGTCGGTTTTCGAAGCTCGCACCGGGCCTGGGGCTTCCCCAATTCTGAGAGCCCTGGAGCTGGGCTGCGGAGAGGCCACCGCGCACTCCAGGGCTGGGACGCTGTAGCCTCGCCCGAAGCGGCGCGGGCAGGCGAGCTCGAGAATGGGGAGAAACCGCGGAGCCCTGTGCGGGGTAGGGGCTTCTAGGCACGCCTTAGCCGATGACGACAACAGGGGACTTAACAACAATGGCTTCCTCCGGGATTTCCCTTCCTGGGCAGTCGGTCCACAGCGCGCAGACAGCAGCCCCGGGTTCCCGGGAGGGGGCGCAGACGCCGGCACATGCCCGCCTGCCACTGGGCGGGGAGCGAGCAGGCGGGAGGGGAAAGAAGTGTGGGAGCAGATGGATTACAGGGCTGTCCTCCGCCGCGGCTTCCTCGGGCCTTGGAACGTGCTGGCTCCAGAAGCCGAGGGCACCAACGGGGAGAATACCAACAGTTGCTTGTGCTTGGAATTTTATGCAAGAAGAGCCTGGCAGCGAAACAGACTGCTTGCACCTGATTCTCAAAGAGCCATCAAGAGGTCCTATGAAAATCTTTGCAAAGGATCCTCTTGAATGCCAGGTCTGAGGAAGGCATTTTGCACCTGGTTAGGAGCTAGGAAAATTAGGCAGGAGTTAGGAGGGCAGCTTAGAGCTGGCTGTAGGGAACTGAAATCTTGTAAGAACTATTCATTCAACATTTACTGAACACTTATTTCCTGCCATGCACTTTGTTAGGGTAACTGGAAATTCCTGGTGAACAAGATAGATGCATTTCCTCCCCTCCTGGCTTTAACTTGATTGCAAGATATTTCTATTCTGCAGGCTTTGGTTACTGATTTACCCACATGCTCTTAATGTCTGTCCTGTCCTGCCTCAGGTATCACTTTTCCCTAAGGAGATTCCTTAGGCCACTTTGAATCCCAAAGGGGTGAAGGAAGCAGGAATCTCTGGAAGTTCTCAGGAGGACAGATCAGTGCCAGAACAGAGGGTGGCAGAGCAGGTCAGAAGGGGGGCTTCAGGGAACCCAGGCTGGACCAGTTCATATTGGGAGAGAAAGAGAGAGCCAAGCCCAGCCCTGAAGTCAGGATTTAGGCCGGGCTAGGGATCTCAGACAAGATTTGAAGGCCAAGCACGCAGGCAACGGGTTAACACTGGAAAGGTCCAAGCCAGGCTGAAGGGTATGGGGAGAGGTAACAAGGGGGTCCAATTTCCACTCCATTCTCCACTCACGTGTTCCTCCAGGAAGCCTTTCTGACTCCCCCACCAGGCAGAGTTATGTGCCCTCAAGGCCTACAGTGATTATGTGATGGCGGCACTTAGTACACTGAAACAAACTGGTTTGCTTGTCTGTCTCCTCACTAGAATACAAGCTCTCTGAAGGCGGGAATTATCTTTCTCATCATGGTGTCCCTATGGCCCCCTAGTGGCTGACACATAGTCCTCGTTAAAGCCACCCCAGGAAAAAAGGGGCTGGTGGTCAGAGTGGAAGCAAGATGGAGAAAGCAGGATTTTAATTGGAGATAGAGAGGATGAGGGAGGATGGAGCTGAAATACCACCTCCTCCAGGAGGCCTTCCCTGATCCCCAGACTAGGTTAGTTCTCATGTTACACATTCTCATTGCACACTTATTTTTCTTCCTCAGCATTTATCATACTGTAATTACATCATCATTTGGGAATTACTTGTTTCTTCACTTGGCTTCCAGGATACCATAATCTGGTTTTCCTCCTACTTCACTGACTTGCTTATCCTCAGTCTCCTTTGCTGGTTCCTCCTCATCTTCTCAACCCTTTAATAATGGAGTGGTCCAGGACTTGGTCACCCTCTTCGCTTACCTCTCTACACTCACTCCCATGGAGATATCATCCAGTCTCAAGGCTTAAAATACTATCTGGAAACTGCAGAAAGCAATGGTTGTTAAAGCTCAATGGTGGGTAGATAGGGGATCACTGTGCTATTCTATCTTTGTGTTTGAAATTTTCTATTAAAAAAAAAAAAAGAATAAACGACATCTATACAATGAACCCCAGATTTCTCAACTTGAACTCCAAACTCAAACACCTAAATGTCAGCTTGACCTCACCTCCTTAACATCTACTAGGCATCTCAAGCTTCACTGGTCTAAAACTGAGCTCCTGATTGTTACCCCGTCCCAAACCTTTTCTTTCAGCTGTCCTCCCATGTCTGAACATGGTGACTCTATACTTTCATTTGCTCAAGCCAGAAACCTTAGAGTCACCCTGATGCCTCAATTTTTACCCCGCATCCAATCTGGCAGCAAATCCTGCTCCCACCTTGGTCCCAAGCACCATCATCTGTCTTCTTTTTTTTTTTTTT